GTGGGAAAGAGATCAATTTAACTAAAATTAAGTGTCAGATTACAGAGCGTGGATTGAAAAATTGCCACTTAAGAATGAAATCTGTGGTTGAAAACATCGGAGCATACCAATCGCCACCCCTTAGTGGATTTTGTGCTGCTTTATTAGGGCCATTACTTGGGTTTCCAAGAAGGTAAACCCTTCCGGGTTTCCTCTACTTTCTGAACCCTCTCACCCTCTCCTGCTGGATTTCCAACGCCCTCCAGGAACAGGCTGCTCCCCCGGGGCCCACCCCCCTCATTGTCTTCACTCAGCCTGCCTTGCTTTTCAGTAACAGTTTGGATACAATGCCCAGGGCGATGTATATAGCAGTCATATTTATTGTTTTCTTACTGCCTGGACTAGGATGCTTCCCCCTCTGTCTATTCCTCAGGGACCTTAAATGCCATCTGTTTGAATCTGAATGCAGCATCTCTTCCCCCAGAAGCTCTTCTTGGGAAATGGCACCACCTGTTGCCCGAGTCAAGAACCTGGGGGCCGTTCTAAATTCTTCCTTGTCACTCATGTCCCAGATGACTCGGCCTCTAAGCCTCTAAGCCCGCTCCGTTTCCTCTCTTGCAGATCCTCATAATTAACTGCCCCCTATTTTTCGTCTCCACTGCCCGAACCTCAGTCCCTCTCTGGTTCATCCTTACCTGAACCTGACTTCCTGCCTGGCTTCACCCCTCCCTCTGCACAGGTCACACTGTAGCCAGCGTGGTCTTCCACGCCAGCCACAGCCAATCACATCGTGTCCACTTGCCCCTTGCTTCCTCTCTTCAGGTTCTTTATCGGTCCTCCATTCTCCTTAGTTAAGTCCAAACTTCTCTCCCTCACCAAGACCCTCATGACCTATGTTGATGATCTTTCCAACGTCAGGTCGCCCCTCTTCCCTAACACCCCTCCTTTCTCCTCACCACACCAAACAATTTGCTATCTTTCTAAAGTCTCTGTAAATGTTTTTGCCATTTGAAAGCAAGTATGGTAAAATACACCAACAGAGGACAGGTTTTGAACATATATATCCTCTCCCTCCATTTGGCTAACTCCTATTTGTGTTTCCAAACTAAGTTCAGGCATCATTTTCTCTAAACCTTTCCTATCACTCACCCCTGGTCTGATTTCAGTGTCACTCCCTTGTGTTTCAAAAAAACTCTGTGCATACTTCTCTACAAACGTGGCATTATGCTATAATTGTGTTGTTATTGTGTGTGTGTGTGTGTGTGTGTGTGTGTGTGTCTTAACTTCCTTGATTAAAATATAAGGTCCTTCAGGCCAGAGAAAATATCTTATTTCTTTCTGGACTCCCAGTCCCTCCTATACTTGACATATAACATGTATGAAATACATATTGAAAAGCTGTAACACATAATGAACTATCTTTGTTCTCTTGGACGAGGTGCTCAGGAGTGGAATTGTTGGGTTGTACAGTAAATTTATATTTAACTTTTAGGGGGCTGTGCTTAATCAGTTAGGTAGGCCATACTGTGTTTACCCATTCACCAATCAATGATGATTTGGATTGTTTCCACTTTCTTCTAGTGTGAATAATACTGCTAGGAACACGCGTGAGCGAGTTTTTGTGCAGACCTGTGTTTCATTTCTTTTAGGTAGATACCTAGAAGTGAAATTGCTGAGTTATATAGTAAGTACATATTCAATCCTTTAAGAAACTGCAAAACTCTTTTCCAAAGTTAGCGGCACCATTTATATTCCCACTGGCAATATACAGGGTAGTCAAATGTAGGTTTGCAGTTGTAATACATACAGATAATAAAATAATTAACAAATAGAAATACAAAAATGAACTCTGTTTTGTGTTCTCACAACTATATGTGGATGCTAGTGTCTTCCTGTTCTCAGTTTTCCAAAGTAGCGGCACCATTTACATTCCCATTGGCAATATACAAGGTAGTCAAATGTAGGTTTGTGGTCATAATACATACAAATAATAAGATAATTAACAAATAAAAATACAAGAACTCATGACTATATGTGGATGCTAGTGTCTTCCTGTTCTCACCAACACTTGCTATTGTGCCCTTTTTTGGTACAGCCGTCCTAGTGGACACGAAGTGGTTTTAACTTGTATTTTCTGAATGACCAGTGACGTTGAACATCTTCACATGTGCTTATTAGCCATTCATATCTCTACTTTAATAAAATGTCTCTTCAAATCTTCTAGTCGTTTTTAACTTGGGTCGTTTGTTTTAATATTGTGTTGGAAGAGCTCTTGACGTATTCTGAATATATTACCAGATGTATGACTTAAGACTGTTTCCTTCCACCCTGTGGCTTATCTGTTCATTTTTTCAGTGGTGTCCGTTAAAAGATTTTGGGGGAGAAAAGGGACAAGACAGAGCTGTGCTTTGGAAAGATGGCCTGGCGGCAGTGTGTGCGATGGATGGGAAGGGACAGACAGCTCTGCTGTATGACTCTGCTTTAAATTATAACACAGGTGGCAGCTGAGCGGCAACCTATGAACCAGGAGGTCAAGGTTGGATTCCCAGTCAGGGCTCCTGCCCAGACCGCAGGCTCAACCTCCCCCGAGGGGCATGCAGGAGGCAGCTCCTCCGTGATTTCTCTCTCATCATCGATGTTTCTCTCTCCCTCTCTCTCTCCCTCTCCCTTCCTCTCTGAAATCCA